ACACACACACACACACACACACACACACACACACACACACACACACACACACACACACACACACACACACACACACACACACACACACACACACACGTAAAAGTCTATGGAGGGAATAATTTCATCCAAGATTGTTGTTTATTTGAAGATACATTCTACTTCGTCAAAAATCACACAATTTGTAGTCATAGACAGTCATTGTGGCATCTTATAAATTACACTTTTCAGAATAAAACCAGCCTGATTCCACATTAAAACTCTGAGACAAATTCTGAACAAAGCCCCACACCTACAAATCAGTGTCTGACCTGAGATGTCACCTTTTGTATATTCCATGGCTTTGCCTGATGGTCATGACAGCACAGCACTGACATTGACTTTATAACCACCTTACACCCCGTCTAACACTCTTGGTCACCTGCAGACACTTATCATCTGACATTCCACTCACACCAGTTGTATGATCTCCGTGCCCTTGATCTCACTGCTAGTGTGAATCCAAGTAAACCTGTTGGACTACAACCTGGTGTTGTGTGACTTCTGACTTTGTCCACCCCAGCCTCACACCGGCACCTCCACAACTTGAGCTAACTGCAGCAAAGGATGATTTCTTCTGTGGTCAAAGGGTGCAACCTAGTGGCAACATTAAAAAGTGATGTGCATCTTTGAAGTTGCACACGTGAACATAGGGAGAAAAACATCACAAAACATTTTTTCCTAGAACTATGACTCTGTTTCTAAAAGTTCAAAGTGTACTGATCATCACAATGAGTGCCATTTTAATATAAATTTCATGACTTAAAAGACAAGTAAATTCCAACAACAAACAAATCAAGCATATTTGAAGATCTATTGAATAGCCAAGAATGAATTTCTCCCAAATTAGTCACCCTTGTCTTTATCTCTCTACAAGATATCTTACCGTAACTGTCTTACAGAACTGAGTAATTGAGGGCTTATATCTGTAAATCTTTAGAATGTCTTCTAGTGGGAGACTGCTCTGAAAACAGATTAAAAAAAAGTTGCTGAATCTTTTAAAAGGAAGCATTCCAGAATGACAAAAAAGTATAACTATTAAAATCACGGCATGCTTGGACTCAACTAAAGATTAATTATTTCTATGCATGCCACTTATTTCATATTTTAAAATAATTGACAGTTATGATTTACAGATATTGGAAATATTGATTCCTGAAAATGTTTTAATTGCAATAATGGTAAATAAATGAATGGCACACCCACTTCCTGTAATTGATAGTAAAACTGAATTTCCAAAGAAAATGATTATTATTATTAACAAACTGATTATCGGTTGCTCATATTAGGCTTTTGGCATTTTATCCCATCTTGATGTTTTACAAATGCTTTGTCAAGTGTTTGGGCTGACGCAAAATAATAGACTTTTCAAGCAATCTGCATCTTTAATCAATGATAAGACATTCCCATCTTTACTTCCTGGTATTCCCATGATTAAAAACTCGATTAACAGATCAGCCAAGAACTAGCAAGTCTTACCTGTAAAATCTTTGAGTTCAAACATATGTAAATTTTACAATTCCAAGACAAGTGCTCTAGTTGGAAGGCCCACTCTCTGGCTATAGTAATTGGTCCTCTTTTTGTGTTGCTTACAAAAGTAAATCTTTCAATCCAATACACAAAGTTTTCTTGAGCATTACTGTTAAAAGAAACAACTAGTCAATGCTTTTCATCTTGCACTCATCAGGACAATTTGTAGGTAGTGAGTGCAAGGCAAAAAAGTGTTGACAAAATGTCTTTTTCTCGTAATACTCAAGTTTTGGCCTACCAAATGTAAGAGGTTACCTTGTTATAAGTCTCTTTTGACACCACAATCAGTAGATTGGATATAACTAAAAGCAAAATACTGCAGATGCTGGCGATCTGAAGTAAAAACAGACAGTTCTGAAGAAACTCAGCAGGCCTGGCAGCAGCTGTGAAGAGAGAAACACAGTTAATATTTTGAGTCCAATATGACTGTTATACAGAACTTCACAATGGTCACAAGTACCCTCTTTGTAAAGGTTGGGGTCAGCATTAAATTCCACAGGTACATAATAAATATACCACCTGACCCTTTTATGCCCTCTCTCCTCACAGTCCAAGACCCCACACACTCTTCTCAGGTGAAGCATTGGTTTACGTGTACCTCTTTCAATGTTAGTATACAGTCTTCACTGTTCACAATATGGGCTTCTCTAGGATGGTGAAACTAAATACAGATTAGGTGACTGCATTGCAAATAAACTCAATTCAGTCTGCAAGCAAGACACTGGACTTTCAGTGGCCTCACATTTTAATTTTCTACTCTGTTCTCATGCTGATATCCCTGTCCTCAATCCACATGCACTGTTCAACAAAGTAAGTTTGAAGAACAGTACGTTAGGCATTTTACGTCTTTTTGGAGTTGGATCGTAATCTCTGTCTGCCATTCCTCACTCCCAATTTTGTTTGCATTTCTCTGCACGTATTGACCTTAATCTTGTTTTTCTCATTTTTGCTGCTGGGCTGCAGCTATTCATTACCCTGTCATTTACACCCCTAGTGAATCCATTTTAGTTTATTTACTTTCTTTGGCTGTACCAACCAACTCATTTCATTTAATATTTCTCATTTTGCTCTTTACTCACTCCCTCCACCCTTCATAAAAGCTATTACATTTTGAAATTTCTCAAACTCCACGATCAAAAACATTAACTCTGTTTATCTCTCTCACAGAAGCTACCAAACCTGCTGAGCTTTTCCAGAATTTTCTATTTTTATTTCCTATTTCTGGCAAGCTGGAGCACAGTAAGATGCTCCTGCTGGAGATCCTCTGCTCCATCTTTTCTTTTTCATTTTTCTTTTTCTTCCCTCTCTTTTTTTTTAACTCAGCTCCAGAGGCAAATCCTGGAGAAGCGGCAGGCGCAGGGAGTGACTCCCGGAGCAGCATGCAGGCAGCAAGTCCTGGACCAGAGTGTGGGCAGCAAGTCCCAGAGCAGCACATGGGCAGCAAGTCCCGGAGCAGACTGTGGGCAGCAGATCCTGGAAGAGTGCAAATAGTGAGTCCTGGAGCAGTGCGTGGGCAGTGAGTCCCAGAGCAGAGCGTGGGGACTGAGTCCAAGAGCAGAGTGTGAGTAACGGGTCCTGGAGCAGCGCAGATAGCGAGTCCCGGAGCATAGCGGGGTAGTGAGTCCCAAAGCAGAGTGCGGGTAACGAGTCCCAGAGCAGCACACGGGCAGCATGTCCAGCAGCAGAACATGGGCAGCGGATCCTGGAGCAGCATGGGTAGCGAGTCCCGGAACAGACCATGGGAGCAGCAGGTCCCGCAGCGGCACAGATAGTATGTCCCAAAGCAGTGCGTGGATAAAGAGTCCCGGAGCCATGCACAGACAGCGATTCCCGGAGCTGTGTGTGGACAGAGAGTCCCGGAGCCATGCACCGACAGCATGTCCTGCAGCAGAGCGCGGGTAGTGGGTCCTGGAGCAGAGTGTGGGTACTGAGTCCCAGAGCAGAGCGTGGGTAGCGAGTCACAGGGCACAACATGGGCAGCGAGTCCTAGAGCAGTGCACTGACAGTGAGTCCTCGAGTAGCACATGGACAGCATGTCCCACAGCTGTGCACGGACAGCGAGTCCCAGAGCAGTGCACGGACAGCGAGTCCCGGAGCAGTGCACGGATAGTGAGTCCCGGAGCAATGCGCGGACAGCGAGTCCCGGAGCAGTGTGCGGACAGCGAGTCCGGAGCAGTGTGTGGACAGCAAGTCCCGGAGCTGTGCACGGACAGCGAGTCCCGGAGCAGTGTGTGGACAGCAAGTCCCGGAGCTGTGCATGGACAGCGAGCCCCGGAGCAGTGCGCGGACAGCAAGTGCTGGAGCAGTGTGCGGAAAGCGAGTCCCAGAGCAATGCGCGGACAGCGAGTCCCAGAGCAGTGCACGGACAGCGAGTCCCAGAGCAGCACACGGACAGCGAGTCCCGGAGCAATGCGTGGACAGCGAGTCCCGGAGCAATGCGCGGACAGCGAGTCCCGGAGCAGCACACGGACAGCGAGTCCTGGAGCACTGCGTGGACAGCGAGTCCTGGAGCAGTGTGCGGGCAGCAAGTCTCAGGTAGCAACCGACGTGGGGAGGCAGTTCTGGAACTTACCTTGGAGCTGCTGAGTGCCAGTACAGAGTGGTCTGGAAGCTTGATGTGGAATGGGAATGGCTGTTGGACTGGGATCTGGTGCGGGCGGTCAGATCACATGCGGAGGCCCTGCACTTGGCTGGAATTTAATGTTTGTTTGAAATTTTTTACCTGACTATAATGTCATTTGCTTAACAATGTCTTATTTCTAGCTTTTTTTTTAAACTCTGTAAAGTAATCTAACTACTTTTTATTCCTCTGTTGTATCCAAGATTTGTATCTAGGTACTTGTACCTAAAATGGTGCTATAAGAGGCAGACATTGTAAAAGTTTTCACTGTACTTCTACAATGGATAACTCGTGACAATTGTAGATATTCTATTCTATTCTATTATGTTGTATTCTATTTCCAGCATCCAGTGTATTTTGTCCATGAAAATTATCATGTTTATTGACGTAGTCAGAGTCCTACTAGATTCAAAATATTAACTTTGTTCTTCTCTCCCCGAGTGTTATCAGACCTGCTAAGTTTCTCCAGAATTTCTTGTCATTGCGACTTTCAGGCACAACTGCAGTTTTGTATTTACATTCTCTATTACTATTGCAAAACTTGCTTTTGTTTCTGGATGGGGCTCCAATTTGTCAATTCCCTAACTTTTGCTCTTCTTTTAAATTCATTTTGATTTATCATATGTAAACATGATATACTTTTTTTGGTTAATTTTTGGGTGTCATTGCGTTCTATGCTTTGGGTCCTTCCTTTGTTCCAGATGAATGATTTTGTCGTCTCCAGGTTGATTCTGGTTAGGCTACAGGGTTCACCCTTCTGTTCCCTGCATTGATCAGTCAGTACATAAGGGTGGAATTTGAGAGGCGTTATTGATAATCTAGGAGGATGTTTTAGTGGCATCGTGGGATCATAAGATCTGTTTTCACATACCTTCTTCCCAGAGCTGGACTTTCTCCCTGGCGATGGAAATTGGGAGGTGAGACTGACCCTGCCTCGTGAACCTACCCCCTTCTACAGCCTGCCACAAAGTGCATTTATGTGGTATCCAGAGCCTCATCTAGCCTGAAGATAGGACAGCCATGCACTCCAGCAGACACGACCCAGAAGTGGAGACGGGCTGATTTCTGGAGAGGGCTCAATAAAAGGCTTGGCATTCATGTCTTTCTAAAACTCATGAAGTCAGTTGCAATTTATGGCAGGCGTCGGGTTTGCTGACAAATGTTGACTACAGCTTGCAGGGAGATTACTGACCTTCCAAGTTCCTTTATCAAGGGGTGCCCTATGCTATCTGGTTATGGTCAATAATGCCATGCACTGGTAAGGATCTGGTGGTTGCAGCAAATCAAAGTGCCATCCTGTTCTGGGAGATTCCATTGGTGAGGAATTTTGTGTCAACCATAGCCTTGACAAAAAAGGGTCTCTGTGACCATTTTGATGCACTTGTCTGCAGGTAAATACAAAATATCACACAGGTCCCCAGCTAAGCCCTGAGATGATCCAGAGGCAAAGAAATTCAAGGTGCAGTTTCCTTGATTGTTATTGTCAGCGCCTGGTCATTAATGGAGTGAGGCGTGCATTCCCTATTGATGAGGGCGGAGATGTCTGTGACCATCTTCTTGGAGAGTCACAGTCCCCAACTTTCCATGCTGGCTTTTTTTCATGGTCAGATAGTATCATCTGTTTCAATAGATCCTGTACTCTGAATTATCTGTTTCCCTTCGTGGCTATGGTACCCCAGTTGTGAACGCTTGATGCTCAATGACCCTTCCTAGCTATGCATGCTGCTGCTGCAATGCCTCAATGGCTTCTATTTGTACTGGTGTAAGTCAATTTTCGGGATGCCTCCTCTTGTTAGCCAGGTGATGTCCTAGTAGCCAAGGTATTAGTCATCTCCCAATGTTTCTGGTTGTGTTCCTAGCCCAAAGTAACAGGGGCTGGACCCCTGACTTCCCACACTTCTTTGCTGAGTTCCTGAAACTTTTCAATACATATCATGAGCCCTTTCATCCAATTCAAACAATTCAAATAAAGTTTCAAAGACCTTCCTTACCAGCTAGCATGTCTTCACTTTTCTCTTATTCACTCATGGGATGTGGCCAGCATTTATTGCCCATCCCTTGTTGACCTTGAGTAGGTGCTGGTGAGCTGCCTTCTTGAACTGCTGCAGTCCATGTGCCGTTGGTTGTCTCACAACGGTGTTATGCAGGGAGTTCCAGGATTTTGACCCAGCAACAGTGAAGGATCAGTGATAAAGTTCCAAGTCAGGATGGTGAGTGGCTTGGAGTGAACATGTAGGAGATGGTGTTCCCAAGTGTCTGCTGCCCTTGTCCTTCTTAATGGAAGTGGTCTTGGGTTTGGTAGCTGCTGTCCAAGGATCTTGCATGCATTTCTGGACATGATTGCTGAGGACTCATGATTATTGATCATCTCCTGGAAAATTGCAAGACGTCTAAAATGGAGGGCCTTTTCCGCAGCATTGATGAGCTTAACTGAAGCTTTAACAGCGACAATTTGCTACCCACATCCTTTACAAACCTATGCAAAAACAGCAGGCGCTGGAAACAGAGGTGAAACTTCCGGGCGTTTCATTTAGCTGCAATTTTATGCGCCGTCCTGTCTCCATTCCATCACAACCCAAGATGGGAAGACACAACCCTCAGTGTGTCTTGCATTTTTAAGGTTAATCTGCCCCAGTCTTGTAGGATGCAGGAATAATGTACTTCCAAGATATCAGGCATATTAACACCCTGTTTAGAATGGGTTCCTGAATTGGTGATTCAATGGAAGGCGCATTGAAAGACTAAAACTTACACTTTTTATATTGTACATTTTAAACATGGATCCCTTGAGGAATAAGAGACAAAAACCGAGTGCAAAGTATCTGATCCAAGCAAACTGATTCTGTTTTCGACAACGTTAGATCATAGATATGACAGAGTTGGGTGACTGGGACACCAGGAAGGAAAGAATTCCTTAAATGGCTTTAGTGTTCTTCACGTAAATATCACTTTTACTCATTGTAATAAACGTATTATACATCCATTCATACATTAGAAATTGACTTGCCATTAGAATTCCAGCAAAGGAAGAGAGTATCATTGCTTCTCGCTCCATTTTATTTGGGTATTTCGACCTAGCACGGTGTGAAATTACTCTAGAGACACAGATGGGAATAGAATTAGGTGTAACTGAGAAACATATGTGGCATTTCACAATTGTATTGTAGTATTCTGCACTGTAAACTGTGACAAAACGATTGTATGACTTCTGCTGTCTTCATATGAAGTTTGTGCACTGACAGACAGAAATGCTGAGAGGTTTGGAAGGAGTAAAATTTGGAGAACACATCTCCTGCATTAAATACGTTTCAATTAATCTAATTTATATATTCAGATTAAATTTGAACTAATGCACCAATTACAATGTTGCCAGGGCTGGAAGGTTTGAGCTACGGGGAGAGGCTGATTGGGTGGGGCTATTTTCCCTGGAGTGTCGGAGGCTGAGGGGTGGCCATATTGAGGTTTATAAAATCATGAGGGGCATGGATAGAGTAAATAGGCAAGGTCTTTTCCCCAGGGTGAGCTTGCATAACCAGACGGCACATGTTTAAGGTGAGAGGAAAGATTTAAAAGGGGCCTAAGGGGCAAAATTTTCATGCAGACAGCGGAGCGTGTATGGAATGAGCTGCCAGAGGAATTGTTGGAGGTTGGTATGATTACAACATTTAAAAGGCATCTAGATGGGTATAGGGATAGGAAGGGTTTTGAGGGATATGGGCCAAATGTTGGCAAATGGGACTAGATTAATTTAGGCTATCTGGTCAGCATGAACGAGTTGGATCGAAGGATCTGTTTCTGTGCTGTATATATCTGTGAATTTATGAGTCAAGATATCTTAACAACATCCTCCAATTTTTTTTTTCCAGAATGATACATAATTTACAGCATTGAATATATAAAAAGTGCAATATTTTGCCGCTAATACACTGCAGGTTTAACACATTTCAACAGCTGATTAGACTGTACAAAATATCTTAGAGCCCAGAATTACTTCAATTAAAATGAAAGTCGAGTCAGTGCACAATACATAATTTGCATTTTGAGGTAAACAAGTTATTCACACAATAGAAATTTACATTGGCTACATGACTAACAATTTTGAATCATTTCAACCAGTCCATCCTTGCTAGTTCTAACAGGCACTGTTTTGTGGAGCCAGAAGCTTCTCTGAATAGTAATTTTAATAAAAGCAGCACACTGATTGCTAACAGTGCTAATATCTTATATGTTTGTGTTATATACTGTTCCGAGATGTTAAAAAATGGATCTGTGTCCGTGTGTGTGTGTGTGTGTGTGTGCCAGAGAGTGGAAGCAGGAGGATTAAAATCTCCCATAAAGTATCCCACAATATTGTTGGAAAAATGGATTTAGCGAATTCAGGATTGTTCGGAAGTTAAAGCAGTAGAGAGTTTAGGTTGCAGTTTATTTTAGGTGCATCAGGGAGAGCTACCAGCTGAAGAAAAGCATTCACTGGAATGAAACTGGTTGCAGCTGTGTCAGGCTGAGCAAGAAACCTTCACAAGGAGTCAGTGGTGAATCTTCACTAGGTTTTGGTGTTTGTAAGGATATTGTTACAATAGAAGGATGAGTCGGAATCCTTTCCCTAGTGTGTGTACTGAAATATTTCCAAACATGTTGCCTCGTATAATGTAGTTTTCTTCCTTGTTTGATACATTTCATTCTGGGTTAAAAGTACACTTGCAGATTCTTGCCAATGTGTTCGATAATTGACCTCCATGGTTAAAAAGAATCATGAAGGTTTATCAACCCAGGTTTCACCCTAGGATATAACTTGTCCAGTATTAACATCAGCCTACGATGTAACTTGTCCAGTATTAACATCAGCTGAGATCGTACCTCTTGGCTTATTGCAAAATACAATTTATTGACCAGTCCTTTATTGGTGACGGGTAGTACTCACATTTTTTCATTTTCCAGAACTTCTCGATCTTCCTCTTCATTTAGCCAAAGCAAAGCAACGTTGATCGCCAAATCATAATGTGCCTTTGTAATAAAGTTTACAAGATCATTTTCAATTTGTTTAATCTATTCAATAGGATCATTTCTGTATTGTGTTTATACCTGTGCACGTTAGAATAATTATTGCTGAACAGTCATTTAACCATAAAGCAATTTTAGTAGCACTTAAATAATTTTTTTCTTTGTTCGGTGAACATTGACTCCAACTACACTCATAAAACAGACCATAAAACAGCTACCCTTTGAATATATTTTATACATATCTCTCCTCACTATTGATTTATAACACCTGTGCTGGAAGAACCTCGTTACCTGACTGAGTGTACTTTAAAGATTTTATAAGTTATATTTAAAAACAACAAAACCTCAAGAAATTAAACTTGCATTGCACAATCACAAATTCTGCCATTCTGAAAAGTAAGCTCAAATATTAAAAAAAGCCAAGTAATTCATGCTAACTTTGACTGCTTATGTTGTGATTGACAAATTGACTAGTCTATTTGGTCCATTTGCCAACGTATGTTCTCTCCATAAATTCCAAACCAATTCAGCAAGCATCATTTATTTTGAGTGACAGTAACGAATTGAGAATTTTGTTATTGGCATTTGCATGCTGTTTTTGGCTAGAAATTGGTACGGTATCCTTGTATAGTAATAGAATGGATCTAGATGTGGGAAGCTAAAGCTGAAATAGTGGAGCTATGTTGGGAAACCTGAATGGAACAGGATTAACAGATGAAAATTTGGTAAACATAATTACATAATTTTAAAGCATTTTTATGATTCATCAGGTCAAGAAAAGTGACTAACTGAATGAATGCTGAAGTTTTCTGTACATTTGATGCCATTTACTGGCACAGTGGCATGAACGATACTATGGTAATTTGAATTAATGACCAGTTCACATTTTGCTTTTAGCTTTTTCTATCAAGTATAAGTGAACTAATTGCAGCATGCGTGGGGTGGAATCTTCCGGGCCCACCCCAAAATTTTAGAAAGGAGAGCAGTGGAAATTAATTGGGCGGGACGCAAGATGCCAGTTTCTCGATGGCAGGTTAAACATTTGGTATTAATTTCTTGGAAACTCTCAAGTGCATCACCACACCTTTCTCTTTTGCATTCATTGGCACGTCATGAAAACCCCAATCCATTAGAATTGCATCCAAAGTCACAATCCTTTTAGGTAAAAATGTTTGTTCATAATTCCAACTCTAGCATTTGATATGTAACTGAAGGTGTAGACTGCTTCCTTTAAGTGCTAGTGAGTACAATACTTGGCTCCTTCAGACTCTGAGCAGATTTTGGCACAGCTTCTTAATGTCTTGAGTGAAGGCTGACCATGTTGAGCAGCTCATCAAAGCTGACAGTTAGAGGAGCTCATGCTTCCACATATAGTGTCTTGGTTGAAGGCTGACTGTGCCCACTAGCCAACTTGATTGAGGCAGCCACAATGTCTCACTCAAATAACAGAGTGGAGTGGGCAAGCATATGTGAACTTGAAAGGGAGATCAGCTTAAAAGTGACAATGTATTAAATTGAGGTCCAATTAAAAGGGAGATCAACAGAAAAGTTTGAGACAAAGGTATGTTGCTGCAAAGGAAAGAAAGAGAATTCAACTCAAATCACCTGATTTAGGGAATGGAAGGAGCAAACTGACTTGAAGAGAGAAGAATAAGAAGATTGTAGACACAGTGAGGATTTCGGAGCCGGATATGAAGGGTGGGGAACACACCTCGATGGCATGTTAAACATTTGGTATTAATTTCTTGGAAACTCTCAAGTGGATCACTGCACCTTTCTCTTTTGCATTCATTGGCATGTCATGAAAACCCCAACCCATTAGAATTGTATCCAAAGTCACAATCCTTTTAGGTAAAAATGGTGTTGTGGCAATCGAGAAACAGCAATGGAATTGAATGTGAAGTGCAGTAAGGATAAGACTGGATGTCAATGGGAGTTGGATCGGTGGAGAGATGTCCAAGGAGATTGTAATCGGGGGTCACTGAAGCGAGACAGATGGGAAGGGAGAGGAATTAAGATGGCCATCAGAAATAATGGGAAAAAGTGCACTCAAAAGAAAAAGGGTACTGGATAAAAGAATCAGAAGAAAGCTGGCAACAATTACTTTCCTGCAAAGTTTCTACAAACCAGGATATCTGTGAATGCGCAGTGCAAAAATGAGTCCAGGCATGTCTTCAATACTTAGACAGGGTGAAAACACACCCCCAAAAGGGAAATGGGAAACAAAACTGAACAAAGCTTTTCACGAACAGTATGTTAAAACCATTGCATTGAAGGAAAATATTCACTGCAAATTGAAGGCCACTAATGTGTAAAAGATAAAACCAGCTATCTGCCAGCCATTTCCTGTCATTCAATAACTTTTCACAAGAAAGCCAGAGAAGATTCCCCAGCAATGCTGGTGTGGGTTGGGTTGGATTAGAGGTGGTGGTACAGTTTCCATGGCATCATCCAGCCAGATCCTAAACAGGAAAGCATTTTGCTCCCTCAATGTCCATTTTGCTTGTGACCACAGGCAACAGTTGCTACAGGCATGCACCCACTATCCAGGGAGCAGTTACAATGCTTACATTTTGCAGGGTGCCCAGTTTCTGTGAATTATCCCCACTCCCAACCCTCCTCCCCTCCCATATCATCAGCATACATGCCACCCATCCCCAGTTACCTTCAGCTCTGACAAAGGGTCACTGCCTCGAAACATCTACTCTGTTTTCCTCCACAGACGCTGCCAGAGCTGCTGTGTTTCACAGGACTCTCCGCTTTTGCTCCAGTAGAGCCTGATGGTCTTGGAAAATTGGTGCATTTATGCCTCAAGGATTGAGCATGCTCTGCCCAGAGACAGGTACACCCTCCCCAGCTTCAACTCCCAGAGGGTTGAGAGTTGCAGGTATGGTGAAGGTGGAAGGCCCAGTCATCTCTGGAGAAGACATTACTGAGGAGCCTGTGTGTGGTTCTCCTCCTCCTGGCACCACCCTGTATCCTTATGAGGACGGGGCACCTGAAGTGAGTTCAAGGTCCCTTGTCCTCCTGTGGCTTTGCTGTTGGTGCTGAGCACCAATGGTTGGAGCAATGGAGTGCAGGTCTGTGCACTGACAGTGTTAGACCTGGATCTTCAAGTCAGCCACCAAGTTGTCCATGAAGGCAGCCAAGCAGTTGCATGCCTGAGGCAGAAAGGGCCCAACTGCATTGGGAGGGATTGAGTGAGTTGAAATTGGGTGATACAAATGTTAGTGGAGAGGCATCCTGAGGCACTCAGTAGGCAACGCAGAGGGCTTGCAGTTTCAGTGGGGTTGGGGAATTGAGTGAGTGACAGTGAGTAGGGAAGATGTCACATGTAATAGTGAAAGTGGTAGTGCATGAACAGAGGCGGAAGGTGAGTGTGAGTTAGCAAGCAGGGCCTTGTTAGCTGAGAGAAGGTGGTGGCACTTACTCTGGTGGTGCAGAGAAAGTGATTCACCTTCTTATGGCACTAGTAGATGTTCTTTTGGATTGTTGAGACCACTGACCCAGTTGAGGGAACAGGATGGCAGGGTCTGGTGTCTTGACTTTCTCTGTCAGTCCTGGGCAAAGAGGACATCTTTCCCCTGCATTGCCCTTTTCACCAGTTCCTCCAGGTCCCAGTCCACAGTGCCAATTTTCCCTTGTCTGCCATGTCCAGGACAAAAGTGTCCAACAATGCAGGGCGGCTCTGGGCTGCCCATTTTTAACTGGGTGCACTGTGGCCTTTTCACTATGGTGCCAGGAATCTTGAGATATCCCAGCAGTGGTAAGTACTTCCGCCAACGGTGAGTGGGAGAATCGGGCTGGCATGAGATGAGTGGACACCGTGAAGAATAATTTTCAGTTGATGAAGTGAATGTCACATGATCTAGCAAGAAAATAGTGTGGGCCTCATGAGAGGAAACCCTCCACAAAACATGATGAAAATGACACAGTCAATTTCTGGCAAGATTTATCCTCAGTGACTTTCAGTAACATTGTCTGTGTAATTGCGAAAAGAGGTCTACATTGAAGAAAATTGCCTTGAGATAGGAAAGATATTGCTTATGCTTTTCCAGAATTTGGAATTCTGTGCTGATAACAAATGCTAGTAAAACTCTTAAACCTCAAGTTGGTTCACAATTACTGCGCTGTGATAGAAGACAAATTATCAAGACTATAGATCCAGAGATGGCTTGTTAAAGGTCATATTAAGGTATTTGGGTCAGCCTTCAGCTTGTTACTAAGACCTAGGAAGCTAAGAGGAGTGTCACAATAAAGTACAAGTTTTCCTGGATTCAGAAGTAAGATTTAAGACAGCTAGTTCAAGGACAGATACCTGCACAAAAAGTAAATTTAGCCAGGAGATGTTCCAGGATGAATGGATAACATTAAAGACCAGAGTTCTCTATATATCCAAGCTGCCACAATCCTCTCAGTGGAAAACAAAGAAACTATTTCATCCATGTCAACCGAAAAGAATGAGATAGTTCACACTTCTGGACATGTGGCTGACTATAAGCATTTTGACATAAATCTGTTTGAAAGGATGTCTGTGAAATATATGGCGTTAGCTTGTCAATATCCAAGATGCCTAATCCCAAATTAACTTCAACAATTGTTATGTGAATTTTAGCAAGCAGTTAACGCTGAATTTCTTGGCTATAATTGAACAGCCTTTTTAATGTTATTTAGTCTATCGGTTAACCCTAATCACTAATTTAAATGTTGTTAACTATATTCATAAATGATTATTAGTACTGACTTTGTCATCTCCTTTAATAACTGATAAAACAATTCTTTCACTCAGTACTCTGCGACATCTTAATGGGAAGTTGCTCGTGTAAATGTTAATAGATATTGGTTAGTCAAAATTAATTTAGCAAGCAATTTCAGTTACTATTAACTTTGAATAAATACTATGTTGTAAACCCAAGATAGTTCCATATAAGAAGTTAAAATGAAGTAGTTAAAAATATTTTCGGTGTATTTCACAAATATTACTGTCTGGGTATTGATGCCTGCATTTTATAAATGATTAAAAGTGTTTTGAGTAGATGTTGTGTTGTGAATTCCTGCTAAACAAATATTCATAACAAATTAACATTTATTTCAGACTAACTAGTTAATGGTGATTCTCTAATTTGTTATTAGCTTTACCAAATCATTGAAGTAGGTTGACTCCACTGACTCCATTTTTCCCGTGGGATCAAAGCTGTTTTCACGAAGTCTTGTGCCAATGTAATGTTTCCTTTGTACAGAAACAGATGCTGGTTACATAAGTATGACAGATGATCACTTTAACTTTTATGTGCAGTTTCCTCCCCATGAAAGATTATTGAGCATTAATGACTAGGTAAAAGCACTGCCTATAACTGTAATCCATATAGGAAGGAGATTCTTCATTCGATTATTGGTCTATGCCTTATTAACTGATAACTGTGGAATGATAATTGACCTCAAGGCCCCTGTCTCAAAGTGAATGGAATTTACAAGTTAATAAGGCATACAAATGTCCCATCCTGATTGTTATCAATGGCCTCTGGAAGTGTATGCATATAAAGTTATTGGCTCACAGCAAGAGAAAACTCAGCTGTAATACCCACAATGGTCATATGATTTGTTAACAATCATTTTAGATCTCACCCAGGAAAAATGTTCACTTTTATTAAGCATCAGAAAGCTTTCGGCACCTGTGGGATCTTGCCAGAACATTTTGAGGCTTACAAAACAGAAGTCATTGACCACTCTGTTTGGCCTTCAAATTATTTTTTCTCTCTTTCATATCCATAAGTTGCTGTTTAAGCACATATATTAGAGACAACATTAAGAGGAGGAAACAACAATTTGATACATACAACAATTTTTCAATTTCTTTCTTAATGCGCTGTTTTTCCATGTCCAGTGACATTCTTCTTCTCTAAAAAATCACTTCGGGTTTGAAGACCAGAGACTATATTCCTTAGTTCATCCTCTGCAATGAAGGTTAGGTTTCTTTACTTACAGAATAGCACTACAAAACTTACAAGTGGATTCACTAACAACTGGTTGGAAGCCATTTTCAATTTTGCTTTCAATCATAGATATTGCTCTCATAAGAGTAAAAGTCTTGAAAACAAGTATACATTACCTGAATGATATCTCTCAAATAAAAACTTGTTGCAAGAATACAATAGTTCTATTCTTAAGAAAATGCAATAAACTCTAGACTTTCCAAAAATGCAATTTAGTCACTGATACCAAAAAGTGCTTGCAGAATAAATACCAAGAGCATGAATTCTGCAATGTGTCTACAATTTCTTTGGTGCAGAAACTCAATACTCTGGTTTCTGATCTCATTCAAAAGACCAAAGTACTTTTCTTGTTGCTAGGAAACCTTGGTATAAACACAAATGGAAACAGGCACCCTGGGACCGATACTCCTGGTCTTAAATTGCATGCGTGTCTCTCACTGCATTATATTACCAGTCAATTAGTTCACCGGGTTACTTTCAAATAGATGGCAAGTAACTAATATCTATTTTATAAATATAGGATAGCTTGCTGACATTTTGACTAAATGTTTATTGGCTTTGATAGAATATTGATAACACTATGGCCCGGTTTTGTGTAAATATAATTAGCGTGATTCAAAGAACACTTGTATCAATATTGATACCAATTAAATCTGTTAAACATAATTTATTTAATCAATTTAACTTCACAGTGTGCAGAAAAAAGAGGCAAATTGCATAAATTGTGATACAATTCAAATCTATTTCACAAAGTGACAATTCCAGATGACTCCATTCGTGCAACTTCAGCAGTTGGTATTCCTGCCAAGTTTCCTTCCCAAGTTTTCACCTCAGCATTTTTATACCAATGTCATTTGATTCATCATGAAATTTCAATAGCTGCAAAACCAACTTGTTCATGTTCAGGTCAGGTCATTCGAAGAACTGTACAAGGACTTTTCTTCATTCTTCACAAAAGCAAAGTACAGCAGAATGTTGGAAAGCTGTCTTTCACCATTCACTATCCCATGAATGGGAGGATCGGACAATGACGATTCTATCACTTTGTTCTTTATTTTTGAGATTTGACAATCTTGTTTTTCATTAAGTGGGAATAAAAACAATTATGTAGTTTTCTGGTAGAAAAAGTAGAAAGTGAACTGATCTTGTTAGAGTTTTACGACCACCACATTCTGATTGTAGTGGGAGGAAGATACTAAGACGAACAATGCCGTCTGTCTGATCAAGTGTAAACTCATGTATGGCACAAACACCAGGACAGACTTCGTAGCCTGAACAGAAATCAATATGTATGAAAAGAATATATGGAGCAGAAATGGGCCACTTGGACCTGCTCCACTATTCAATAATATCATGGAAAATCTGATTGCTCCACATTCCTCCCAACCTCTTGCTAACCTGTCACTCCTGTGCTTATCAAAATTTTATCTACTTGTGTCTTAAAAATAAGCAAGAAAGTTACAGATAACATCAAGTTGCAAGAAAAAAAATCATGCAAAGTAGCAAAGGTTAGAAGTAAGCCAGAGGACTGAGAAAGTTTAAAAAGACTAACGAATGAAAACCAAAAATACAACAAAGAGGGAGAAGATAAACTTTGATGGCAAATTTGCAGTGCTGCCTCTCAGTGCCAGGAACTTGGGTTCGATTCCAGCCTCGGATGACTGTCTGTGTGGAGTTTGCACATTCTCCCTGTGTTTGTGTGGGTTTCCACTGGGAGCTCCAGTTTCCTCCCAAAGTTCAACGATGTGTAGGTTACGTGGACTTGCTGTGCTAAATTTAACCGTAGTGTCCAGGGATGTGCAGCCAATTAGCCATGGTAAATGCAAGGTTACTGGAACGGGGGCAGTTAGGGGGATGCTCTTCAGAGGGTTGCTTCAGACTTGATTGGCCGAATGGCCTCTTTCCATACTATAGGGATTCTGTGATATCTAACCATCAGGTCCCTCTAATCAACAATGCTACCAAGCAGCTCTTACAAAGCATTAATATTCTCTGACATTCAATTTGGGTTCAGCTCAATCAACACCAACCCCCGACCCCGATACAGCCTCAGTCAACATGTGACACTTGAGGTGACAGCAGTGACTGTACTTGACTGCACTAACAAAATTGACAGCAAAGGGAACTGAGGAGAAAACTCTTCATTGTTTCAAGTCACAACCAGCAGAAAGGAAGATGGATCTGGTTGTTAGAGGTCAATCATTTCTGCCCTGAGGCATCGCTGCAGGAATTCCTCAGGGTAACTTCATGGATCCAAACACCTCAGCTGCTTCAATGATCTTCCCTCCACTATAAGATCAGAACTGGGGCTGATTACTGAGACAACAAGGTGCAGGGCTGGATGAACACAGCAGGCCAAGCAGCATCATAGGAGCAGAGAGGCTGACGTTTCGGGCCTAGACCCTTCATACCATTTACAACTCCTTACATACTCTCATGTACAAATCCAGCAAAATTTGGACAACATTCAGGCTTGGGCTCATATGTAATGAAACCAAAGTGCTGGAGAAACTCAGGAAGTTCACGCTTCTGTTAGAGAGATGTTGCCAGACCTGCTGAGTTTCTCCAGCACTATCTGTTTTTATTTCAGATCTCCAGCAAATGCAGAACTGTTTTCTTACTTGGGTTGATAAGTGCCAAGAGTCACTACAGATGTATAAATGCTAGACAATGGTCGTCAGCAACAAGAAGATTGTCAATCATCTTCCCTTGATATTCAATTGATTTACCACTGTTGAATCTCCCACTATCAACATCCTGGGGGTTACCTTTGATCAGAAACTGAACTGAACCAGACTACTGCTTCTGACCCCTAGCCTGTCCATCATCTAAAAGACATATATCAGGAGTGTGATGGAATACACTCCTCTGGCACGGATAAGTGTAGCCATTTACCATCCTGACTTAGAAACATATCATCGTTCTTTTATTGTCATTGGGTCAGAATTCTGGAACTTCCTTTCTAACAGCATTGTAAGACTGCAAGAAATAAGAACAAGAGAGGGTCCCCTTGCACCTTAAGCCTGCTCCACCATTCAATAGGATCGTGGCTGATCCAACACCTCTCAGTGTGGGAGCCCCTACACCCCAGGGACAGCAAGACGGCAGCTTACCGCCACCAAGGCTAGGGGCCAAGTGTTCAAAAATTGAATTAGATTAGATGGATAATTAATAGCCATTGCAGACAGGATGGGCCAAAGAGTCTTTTTCCATGATGCAAAAAGACGCTTTATGACTTTTCCAGGGCAATTAGGGATAAATAATCCTCTTTCAAACCTTAACTTACACCCATCTTACATTTCAATTTCTCTTTCCTCCAAATTTGCAACCCCATTTTTCTTTTGCACTGGGCCTCTACATCATCTGTTTCCCCTGCTCCTCCTCTGCCTCTGTCAAAAGTATAAAAGGAAACCAATCTTTCAGTTCTGGAGATGGGTCATATTGGACTCTAAGTGTTGATTCTGTTTTTCTCTTTCTTTCTACAGAGAAAATGTTTCTCCAGAACTTGTGTACTTGTTTCAGATTTCCAGCATCCACATGTTTTTAAATATAGGGATGAACAATAAAAGTTGATCCAGCCAGTCACAGCCAAATCACATAAATGTATTTTTTTAAATAAAACCTCACATTTCTATATCCCATTCACTATATTCCTCTGACTAATCCATTAATCTTTTAAAAGCTCATGTCTGGGGGTCTTAACCAAGTTAATCAATATTTCTATAATAAAACAAAACAAAGAACTGCAGATTCAACACAGTGTGGAGCTGGAGGGACACAGCAGGTCAGGCAGCATCAAAGGAACAGAAAAGTCGACATTTGATCTGATGAAGGGTCCCAACCCGCAAAGCCGAAGTTGCACTGAGCAGAGAGATGATAAATAGAGATGGAGCTCAGAGAGAGAGAAACGAAAGGGGTAGGTAAACATCAAGATTATGGACAACAGGCTTGGACAGAACAAAAGCTGCATAAATGAAAATAAGAACTAAGAGTGAGAAAATTGGTTCGCTGTGCTGAATGTAACTCATATAATATGATAATAGGCCTAGGAGCACATGCATTACTGTAGTAAAAGCAATCCAAGTCATAACAGGATGGGGTGTGGGGTGGGTAACAAATACGGAAAGATGGAATCAGGCTCGAAACTCGATTATAAAAAGTGAAAGAACTGCAGATGCTGTAAATCGGAACTCGATGCTGAGTCCTAAAGGATGCAGGGTCCCCAGACTGAAAATGAGACATTGGTCTTTTGAGCTTGCACTGGGGATTGCTGAAACACCACAGCAGGCCTGCTATAAATGTTGGCGTGGAACAGAGTGGTGGGTCGAAATGGTGGGTAACTGGTAGCTTGGGGTCACTCTTGCAGACAGAATGTAGGTACTCTGCAATGTGGTCACCCAGCCGGCATTTAATCTTCCCAACGTAGAGGAGACCACCTGTGAATTGCCAATTCATTGGACTAGGCTGAATGAAGTACAGGTAAATTGCTGTCCACCCAGGGTGCATGTGGGGCCTTGGATGGTGAGAAGAGCTTTTTGTTTTGGTGAGGAGAGGTTTATGTTTAATTCACATTGCCCCAGTTTATTCCAAAACCCATATGCAATTTTTTTTTGCTCTTGGCTACACCTTTGGTGAAGCGGATTAAAAATCTTCATTTTGGCCGTCTATGCTAACTCAATGAACTAACAATGAAGTAACCCCTAATCCAATTCTTCCCCCAGTTTGATCAATGACAGTAAACAGACTCCCTGTACCGAGAAAGAGTACAGCGTGGGATGGGGTAAGAAGTGCAAGCCGCCAGCCGACACATCACGTGAGCAAATACATCCCGCCCCCGAACACCACGTGACACAGGGCAAGCGAATCAAAGCGCTCTCCCACCGCTAGTAGGAACGTATGGCAGGCCACCCCGTGACCTCGGCCCGTCCCCGCCCCGGCGACCAATGAGAGCGTACGCCCCTCGCAGCCGCTCGCGCCTGCGCATTGTAACACCAATCAGAGGCTCTTGTTGTTTTTTTAATTTGATATTGGAGGCGCGCGGTGCGGATTTTTAACCGGCGGAGGAGAGGAAAGAAAGAAAGAGAAAAGTACCAATACCAATACCAATACCAATACTAATAGAGTGATAAAGATTAACAAGAGAGGTAAACAGCTAGAAAGAGGAGTAGGGTGATAGAGACGAGTAAGGAGCTAGCGGTAGGTAAAGAGAGGAATAAAGAAAGGAGAGCTAGTGAGAGGAATGGAGAGATAGAGATAACTGCAGAGAAATAGAAGCATGAAGAGTTAAAGGTAGATAAATAGAGAAATATACATGGAGGAATAAAGAAAGAGGAGAATAAAGTGAAAGGAATAGAGAAATAAAGGAATACAGAAGCACAGGAATAGAGTGAGGGAATTAAAGATATAAAGAGGTAGTAAGTCGAATAAAGGACGGGAGAAAGAATAGTTAGAAGAATAAAGAAATAAAAGAGAAAGGAAAATACACTCCCTTTATTGTTGGAGAAAGGATTGTGGAAGTGTAGAGAAAGTAGGTGATATTAAAGTGGTGGGAGGGAGAGAGAGAAAACTGGGAAGAGAAAAATAGAGACCGAAAACAGTGACTGATTGCGAGGTTGGTGGGAATGAAGACAGAAAGCTGGGAGATAAAGGAATAGAGAGATGGACTGAACAGAGAAATAGGGGAAGAGTGGAGAAAGAGCCAGCTCTGAGCAAGGAGAATATTGGTGTGTATGTGTAAATATTCAATCACAGAGCCTTTATCTTCATATCTGGAAAGGTAAGTACAACTCTTTGGGCTACTATATGATTAAATTGTAGTGGTAATAATCTGGTGTGGTGGACAGAATTAGTCTATGCAGTTAGATTGGTTAAATTTGGCCCACATGATTGGTTTGGTTTGGATTGAATAGAAAATGTTGGAGTAAGCCATTTCTCTCCTCAAGTCTGCCCCACCATACAGCAGGATTATGGCTGATCGACTTCAACTTTCTGCACTAGCCTTATATTAAAGCTTTGTACTCATTCTAAGTACAGGCAATTCCCAGGATGAGTGGGTTCTGTTGATTACATGGAGTCCCTACAGGGTGGACACAGGCCATTTGGTCCTTCCAGTCCACACCCATCCACGACCCCACCCTATCCCAGTAACCCTGCATTTCCCATGGCTAACCCACCTAACCTGCACATCCCTGGATACTATGGGCAATTGCGCAGGGCAAATCCATCTAACATGCACATCTTTGGAATGTGGGAGGAAACCGGAGCATCTGGACAAAACTCATGCAGACGCGGGGAGAATGTGCAAATTCCACACACCATCCCCTGAGGATGGAATTGAACTTGGGTCTCTGGCACTGAAAGGTAGCAGTTAAGTGGATTGGTCATACTAAATTGTCCATACTGTGTCTAGGGATGAGCAGGCTAGGTGGATTGTATATGGGATTGTAATGCAGGGTTACATGGATAGGACAAGGTGTTAGGTCTCAATGGGCTACTCTTTGGAGAGTCACTGAGGACTCAATGGGCTCCACAGCCTGCTTCCACATTGTAGGCATTCTATTATTCTACATGAAGATTAGTGGTGGAATCAATACACATGGACCATTAAAATGTAATGAATAGGTATAGAACACAACCAAACAACCAAAAGACAACTTGTAGATAGTTTTCTAATCTTCTGGAATACGCGGAAGGGCTATTGGAAGTTTGGAACTTCTGCAAACAAATTGATATCTGGCCACTTTATTAATTTTAAATCTCCAAAGTTGCTAGTTTTCTGTTAAGGTTGGTTTATGCAATGAAAACACATTTTGATATGTGATCACATTTGCCATGATTTCATTTGTCTACTCCACGGTCCTATGTTGTACATTGTTTGAAATAATATTTGTATTATTTTCTGGGAGAACCTGCCCCCCTTTTGTTAGGTAGTTGTAATTTTAATTCGTACGATTTTTCACTGCTATTAAATCAGGAAGAATTGGGGATGGAGCATAACACTGAGATTACTTATGCTGTATATTTAAGTGTATGAACAAGTAGAATTGTTATTATATTTGTGATAGGTCAACATATGTATTTCATTTATTGGATATTTATTATTTTGAGAGTTCAGGATCACAGGCCACTAATGTAGTCTATCCTTTTTTAAGGTACACAAAGTAGCAACTTAAAATATGGAAGGTGAAGTGATGAATGCAACTGTATCCACCAGCCATTTGGGGTTCTCTGGTAAAATGAAGGAACGACGGAATTGTATTATGAAAAAGACAAAATATAATGCATCTTTGATTTCTAAGATTAAGACCAAAATTCTCAGTAAGTATTCTATTCCCCTTGAAACTTTGTCGGGCTTGCCGCAAATCTTGCGTTGCTCAACCTGCTTGTGCACTAATCTGTTGATATTGATACTTGCGTGACTAATTTAATTGATTTTCTATCATTAATAATGCTAGCAGAATGTTGATGGTAGAGGATTGATTGGTGATGTCCTTTAAAAGGTTGTAGACGTGCTCGTTCTGAGACATTTGTGCAGGAAGTACAGTTCACGGGTTGCGCTCAGACGGATGGCATTTGTCTCCCATCTGCAGGCCAGTTTGAGGATATTGCGCCCGTAGGTGTTTAAAGTTTTTGAGAGGATTTGTAGCTCGGGATAAGGTTGTAGACTTGCCATCCGTCTGAGCGAACAACTATACTTCCTGCACGAATGCCTCGGCGAGCAAGTCTACAACCCGAGCTACAAATCTTCTCAAAAACGTTTGATGTCCTTAAAAGCTGTGGAGAAGTTGCGTGACTCTACTGTTGAAGGTGGTCATCGCAGAACTGTTGCATGTAGAAGGCAGCCATTTGGCCCATCGTGGCTGTATCCTTTGTTTGAATGAGTAGCTCACGAAATGTTATTCTCCTGCCGTTTCCGCATAACTCTGCAAATTCTTTCTTTTTCAGTTAACTATTTAGTTTTCTTTTCAATGTGTCAATTGAACCTGCCTTCAGCACACTGAGAGTGCATTCCATATGTGAAAACATATCTTTTTCTCATTTTTTTCTCTTTTGTGAATTTCTTTAAAGCTGTTCACCTTCCTCAATCTTCTCATGACTTAGAACAGTTTCTCCCTGTCTATTCTGTTCAAACTCCTTGATTTTTGAATGCCTCCATCAAATCTTCTTTCAACCTTATTTTCTTCAAGAAAAGCAAATCTAACTTGTCCAGTCTATCTTTATAACTGCTGATCCTCATCCCCGATGTCATGCTTGTGAATCTCTTCTGTAGTCTTTACATCTTTTGTAAAGTGCAGCCCCCAGAGCTGGATACATTCCTCCAGCTGAGGCCAATCTAGTATCCAATGAAAGTTCAATACACATTCAGCATAAGTTTCTCGTTGTACTCTTATTAAAATCTAGGGTACTGTATGCTGCTTTAAACATGCTCTCAACATGTCATGCTGCCTTAGTTGATTCAGGTACCTCTGGTCCTATGCCCTGTTAAAATTGTCCTTTTTCTTTTTCTTTTACATTGGCTGTTCGCATTTCTCAACATTGAACTTCAAATGCCACCTGTCAACCGATTCTAAATCCTTTTGAAGTTCTACACCATCCTCCTCACAGTTCACAATGCTTCCAAATTTCATGTTGTGTGCAAACTTTGAAATTGTGTCTTGGGACTCCACAGTCTAGGTCATTTTATATTTGGAAAAACAAGGGTCTCAGCAATGAACCTTGAAGACTGCACTCCAGTGTTAAGAAGCATTCATTTCCATCTGCTTCTTGTGACTCAGCCAATTTTATATCTGTTGTTTCTGTCCCTTGTTTTTTATTCCATAAACTATGGCTTTGTTCAGAAGCCATTTGTGTGGCACTGTAGTAAACACTCTCTCCAAAATGTGCCTGGCGTTAACTGTTACTTGCAGCGAACACCCTGATTTCTGATCTTAACGTTGGAGTGATGAAGCGATTGAAAATGGTTGGTTTTAAGGTGTACATCTTGGAAACATACAGTAATGTTCTGAAATGAGATGATTTGTTTCTTAGAACTGCAATCATCATCTTTAGTACTAGGCAAGACTCTAATCACTGCGAGTTTTCCCAGTTACCGGTATAGTATTGTAAGCAATTCCGGAAACTGCACTTAAGCACTCAATACTTTTGAAAGGGTGCAGATCAGATTTAATAGAATATTAGTAATGTCTATCATCTGGACAGACTAGAGAAGCTGAGGTCCACCCTAGAGGAGAAAATCTGATAATATTCAAAATCATGAATTTTATCATAAAGAAAAACAAGGAGAAACCTCTACTTTCTGTGGTAGAAGGGTCATTAATAACTAGGTTTTTGTTTTGAGGATTTGTAATGCTACATTCAGATAACTGGGAAGTGTTGCTGAACCAAGAGAACCTTAGTGGTGCACGTGCATAGTTCCTTGAAAGTGGAGTAATGGGTAGACAGGGTGGTGAAGGTGACATTTGGCATGTTTACTTTCATTGATCAATGCACTGAGCATAGGATATGGGATAAGATGTTGTGGCTGTACAGGACATTGGTTAGACCACTTTTGGAATACTGTGCTCAGTTCTGGTCTCCCTGCAATAGGAAGGTTGGTGTTAAATTTGAGAGGGTGCAGAAAAGATTTATAAAGATGTTGCTGGGACTGGAGGGGTTGAGCTATAGGGAGAAGCTGAATAGGTTGGTTTTTTTTTTTCTGTGGAGCGTTGGAGACTGAGGGGTGACCTTAGAGGTTCATAAAATCATGAGGGAATAGTGTGAATAACCTAGGTTTTTTTTTTTTGTTTTCCTAGGGTGTGGGAGTCCAAAACTAGGGGGAGAGATCTTTAAGATGAGAGAGGACTAATTTAAAAAGGACCCGAAGATAAGCGTTTTCATGCAGAGGGAAGAGAGTATATGGAATGAGCTATCAGGAAATGGTGGAAGCGGTACAATTAGAACATTTAAAAGGCATCTGGATGGGTATATGAATGGGAAAGGTTTAGAGGGGTGTCGGCCAAATGCTGGCAATTGGGACTAGGTCAGATTGGGATGTCTGGTTGGTGTGGATGATTTGGACCGAACAGGCTGTTTCCATTCTGAATGACTCTGACTTTAACAGCTACAGTGATATCTGGGCAGTTGCTCTCTTTGCATCTTAATAGATTAAGGATTAGTGAATGGGTTATTGGTGACATGGTGTTGATAGTGCAAACAATATTCCTCCCATAATTTCCAGCTGATTGACAGAAGGTTGACAGGGTGGGAATTCACTCTGTTGGATTTATCTTGTGTGAATAAGACCTGCTTGGATCCCCCATTTGTTGTGTGGATATCGATGTAACTGTATTGCATCCGCATGGCTAGTTCTAGAGCACACCTTTTCAGTGCTACAGCTGGGATATTGCCAGAAATTGTAGCTCAGTGCTTTCAGTCATTACTTATTACACATGGATGAAGATTGGCATCTGTGATGTCAAGGATCCCAGGAGGTTGTGATTGAGGAGTGAGTGATACGTGGAATAGGTCTGCTGGGATTTGCCTGCAATGTCTTGTGCATGCCCAGCTTTTAGCTCAGAAATAACATGAAACCAGGTTATAGTCCAAACTTCTAACGCCTGAAGAGCTGAGGTTCCGAGAGCTTGTGTTTTCAAATAAACCTGTTGAACTATAACCTGGTGCTGTATGATTTCTGACCTTGTCCACCCTGGTCCAACACCAGCACCTCCACATTGCAGCTTTTAGCTGTTAGACTACTTAATAAATTATTTGTTAGCATGGATAAAATGCCATAAAACACAATGGAAAATGCCCTTTGTGAAGGCTATTTTATGTTCAAAGTCAATATTCCTACTAATCCTGCTATGGGTAGATTTTTTAAAAAGTGAGTAGATTTATGAAGACTGACTAGTGTTGGCTCTCTTGCCTACCAATCTGGAAATTGTGTCCTTTAGGGCTTAGCTGGAAGTGCTGCCAAACCACCCTTTGAGACATGCACACTCCATCACATAAGTGAATATGTTCTGTGCACTTGCTACCCTCAGTGTTTCCTCCCATTTGATGTTCAACATATGTTATAGAATAGTACAGAACCAAAATAGGCCTGTGTCAGTCCTTTGGGAAGGCTAATTTTTGCCCAAAGTAGTTATTTCTAGTAATACTGCTGCGGGCAAAGCCTACTCTTGCAAAGAGCTATGCATAAGCCCTGCAAAAGCTTTCTTCAAATATTTATCCAATTCCTTTTTAGAAAATTGTTGAATCTGCTTGGGCATTCCACTACTTATTTTTTTCATTCCTATGTCATTTCTGATTCTTTTGCAGTTATCTTAAATTTGTGCACTGTAGTTATTAACTCTCCTACCGTTGAAAGTAGAGGTTTGAAATTAAAGCTATGATCTCGCACCCACTCCTCTTTCCCTTAAACTGTATGTAAAATTCAATCAAAGTATTGTTTCCCATCGATAAAAGCATCTTCACTATGAGGTCACTAATTAATCCTATCCCATTCCACAATATCAAATTTAGTCTAGACTGCTGAGGAAGTTCTGAGAGAGAGTCACCAGACCCAAAACATTAACTTTGATTTGTCTTCACAGATGCTGCCAGATCTGATGAGCTTTTCCAGCAACCTCTCTTTTTGTTTCTGGTTTATGACATCTGCAGTTTTTTTTTGGTTTTTATTTAGTATAAATTGATGTCTGGTCAGTTTTGGAGCATGTTGTTCTTAAAAAGCTATCTTGAAAACATTCTATGAACTCACCATCAGGGCTACCTTTTTGCCCATCTGCCTTTTACAGTTAATGTAAATTAAAATCTCCAATAATTATTGTAATACCTTTCCGACACGCTGTCATTATTTCTTCAGTTATTCCCCATCCTACTGTATGGTTACTGTGAAGGACCCATACACCACTCTCTCAAGTGACTTCTTGCCATCATCATTTCTATCAAATGTTTTCAACATTTTGATTTCCTGTCTCGTGCCAATGCCACCATCAGAGTCATATTCATACCATCTGTGCTATTTATATATTTTCTAGTCTTCCAGTCAAGAAGGCTTAGTTGAGCTATTTGCATAGATGTAATGCAATCCTTGTTATACTGTTATGTAGTAATCATACACAGGGGATTTGCTGCAGTACCACCAAAGAGAGGGTTTACAGTGGCAAAATTACATTAAGCAAATATCTTTTCATTACAAATTCAGGCATAGGAATTTATAACTAAATAGTGCTGATGTAAGATTTGGTAAATATTACTGTTTGACATTCTATGGAGAATTAGTGTATTCAGGTGAAGTGGCTGACAATGGCAGGGATGGCAGACATAGAAAATAAGAGCCCTTCAAGGCTGCTCTGTCAATCAATAAGATCAAGGCTGTTTTTGCTTTCTACCCATATCCTTTGATCCTTTTAGCACTAATAACTATATGTGACTCCTATGAAACATTCAGTGTTTTGGCCTCAGCTGCTTTCTTTGGCAGCAAATAGTACCATTCTCTGGATTAAGATATTTCTCCTCATTGCTGTTTGGGGAGGGTGGAAATATCAATTACAAATGGCTAAAGTAATTGTCTGATCCACCCCTGAACTTCCTTCTCATTTCGCTCAGCTCCTCTTATAATCCTCTTATTGCCTACTCTATTACATTTTAAATTTTGCTTTTTGTTAGCTGTTTCTTCACACTGTCTCTTGGCAGGATTTCTACTTCAACTTGCCTACTTCATTAATTCATCACTGTAATAATTATTGATTCAAAGACAGAAATAAGCAAGTCTGGTATCGTTTTTGGCGAGAAAGCAGAGTTAATATTACAAATCTTGTAACTCTTCTTCAGATTTGTTGATTGGTGCCTGCTGCTCATTGGCTTAATACAGCAGCAAATTAAAATAAATGCTTTAGTTGTAATCAGTTATCTTACAAATGCACTTGAACCTTATTAGCTATATTACAGCATTCAGCAGTAACTTTTTGTAGCCATCTGTGTGACACATACAGTATCTTTTGGGTTTTTGATTTGAGATTGTGTTGCAATTTTATATGTTAGCACAACCCGCTGTATTGTAATGTACCACCTTCAGTTTGATCAACTTAATTTTTGATTTCCATGTTAGACTCTTATCTAGTTTTAAAGGGTACTGTCATCAGATTCTTTGAAAAATCAAATTAATAGGTTTCAGTATAGGGTTTTGACGTGTGTGACAGACCATGATAACTTTATAAGAGTATTAATGGTGTGTCTCTAATATGTCATGTACTCCCCATCACACTTGAGGCAAAATATTGTAATTGCCCTGTTTAATCTTGTCAAATGTTGTCAAATAGACTTTTGCCTACAGCTGACTGGGTTACTCTTCACGTGGCTATTTTAATATAGCAAACAATGTGACATTCTGAAATCAGCTCCACAAATGACACCATTAATATTATTCACACACACATCTATTTAACTAAAGACTCATTTTGTCAGTTAGTTTTTATCATTTAATTTTGTACGCCTTGTGCGACCCACTATTTCTGGTTGGCCGTTCTTCTGTGACTGTTTGTTTCTAGTTTCAGCAAACTATGGGAAGTCAAGTTAAAACAAACTTCGACTTGAATCTTCTAAAAGACATAAACTCTATGAAGATGTTTATTTTTAAAATAGATTAGATGTTTTGTTTCTCCTTGATTCTGTTTTGTTTCTTGAAATTAACAGCCCATTTCAAGTCATTTCTGCAATGTTCACAACAGTCACTCAGTCTAAATTCATCACGTTGCCTTACTGCCAGCAGTGGTTCAACAGCTGTTTCTGAAGATGCTAAAAGAAAGATCATAATTTCTACGTTGCATTTTGAACTTGATCCATTGCAATCATTTTTTGTTTCAGACAACTCCTCAATGATGAAGATTTCACTTAAAAATAACAATAAAGCTTTGGCATTAGCTCTTGCTGAAGAGAAGAAAAAGTATAGATTGTCTGAACAGGAAAAAGTAATTCTTCAAAAAGAAATATGCACTCAAAATTATGACATAGTTATGCTTCAGCAAAGGTTGACTACGCAGGTAAAAAGGACAAATCCTCAATTCTTTTTGATTGTCAACTGCCTTTAATGTGGCATTGTAACTGAGCATTTTTGGGATCCCTGCTCCCGTTTCAATGATATTGTAGTTCAATATGGCTTCTCACAAGTTGGAGTTACAATGTTGCTTCTCGATTCTAAGCCCATCAGCAGTGTCTTCTGCATCAAAACCTTAAGATATGGGTGGATCCACTAGAATTTGGGGGTGAGACCGGGACCTGGACCTGGTCCCAGACCCAAAGGGATAAGCTTTAGGGAATGAAAGGTTAAGCCAACATCTAACATTTGAATGTGGGTTTAATAGATCCTTGAATACCTTTGATATAATATTTGAATTTGTATCTTTTGAGAAACAGAATGCAAAACTTTCAACCTTAGAAGAATTTTTGATGAAGATAAAAAGCTGCTTCTCTGATGCTACTGATTACCTGTCAACTGCCATCAGCACCTGTGAATGTGATGTAAGGACTTGGCTTTATTCAGTTTCTTTATGAACATTTCATATTGAATTAAAACTGTAGGGTTTAATAGAATCTAGGCACTGCATCAAACAACTTATACAAAGCTGAAGTATTTTTAACTAGAATCTAAAATATTACAACGATGAAATAATGGCCTGTTATCATTTAACACAGTTAAATAAAGTTAAGATAATTGACAAAGAAAAACAGAGCAAAGGAGGAAAAACATCTATCCAATGAGTTATGATCTGGAATAAACTACCTCAAACTGCAATGGAAACAAATGTGATAGAAACTTTGAGAATTGGATAGGTACTTGAAAGTAAGATTTTTTTTAAATTCTTTCATGGGATTTTGACATCACTGATAAGGCTAGCGTTTGCTGCTAAACTGTAATTGCCCTTGAGAAGGTGGTGATGTATTGCTCTTGTGAACTACTACATGCAATCCAACTGGTCTAATTATGCTTGGTGCAAGTGGACACAGTGTAAAAGGATTTGGATAAAGAGAGTGGACAAAAATCTGGTCGATTTGAGTCTCATGTTTGACAAGAAAAATAAAGCAATATATTATTTTATTGGAGAAAGTCTGCATAACTCTACAGTAATAGGGATCTAGATGTCCTGGTACATGAGCATAAGTTTTTAGGCAATCGCATCAATTGCTTATTAAGGCAAATAGAAGAATGACTGCAGTGCAGAAGTAGGTCATTTTGGTTTAGCTGATCCAAGTTATTTTATGTGCTCCATTCAAAGGTTTTTCCATCTTCTTCATCTTGCCTATCAGCACAAGTTTTTCTTCCCAATATGTTTATCGGGCTTTCCCATAAATACTTCTAGTCTTTCTTTTTCCTCGAAATGGAAACATCTTCACATCTGCCTTTATGAAAATATTTTATAATCTTAAAGGCCTTGGGTCAGCTCTTGAAACTTTCATGGATAAAAATGCTATATTGTGTTTAGTCCTTCCTGACCAGTACAAGCTTTCTTTTTTGGTAAACGTGTTTTTCTTGCACTGCCTCTAGCTTCTCAATATCCCTGTTGTAATATGGGGAACAGAATTGTACACACTATGTAATCAGTATTCTGTACAAATTTATCATCCTTTTCAGTTCTTTTCCTCAAAAAAATACTTTTTTTTTTTAAAAACTGGGATCAATTTGATTTTATGAACGTCTATCCCTGAATCTGTTGCTACCCTGATTTATTTTGCAAGGAATATAGCATAGCATCACATTACCATTCTACCAAATGCAGCATCTCACCCATGTTTGAATTGAGGTTCATTTGTCAGTTATGTACCGTGATGCAAGGTTGTCCGTATTGTCGTCTTTTTTTCTTTTGCAGTCATCTGCAGGGTTAATTGTGCCCCAATCTGGTGTATTTGTGTGACCTTCACTTAAGATGAAATGCACAAAGATCGTGAGCTTAGCCTTTACTGCTGTGCTTTGTGATGGGGCGTTCAGTTCTTCATGTTGTCCTCCTTCCTATCTCCATCACTCCCATAAAAAATGGTGTACTGATAGTTACCTATTTATTATTATAGATTTCCAAATCACTTTTTATGTATCATTTTGGTTAAAGTAATGAAAATTAGGCAAACCATTTGCTATATCTGCTTGTATCCTTCCCGTTGAGGCATTTACTGTTTTCCATGTTGTTTCAGGAACATCAGTGGAATGGTATGTTATTCCAAAGAAGTAACCGTGTGAGTGAAGATTCCAACTGCAACTTGTAAGTAATCAACAAAGTTTTATGCTTTAAAATGATCTGCCAATTGCATTTATTTAAAGCTTAAAGAAGTGTATTCCAAAATTCAGGGCTGCAGTTAGCTTATGAGGTTCAATTACAGTAGTGTCAAATTAATAAATTTTAATAAGTATACAAGTTCAAAAAAAAAATTCCTACTGTACAGGAATTCTGAAGTGCAGTTTGCTTCCTGTGAGATAAGTTGCAATTGTTTCTTTGATTTGCATTATTTCTTTATCTCTCGTTCCACACCATCTCTTAGCTTGGCAGACAAGCGTACAAATTGTTTCCAAGTTTTAGCTAGTGACTTGAGTAGGTTCAATGTGGAAGCCCAGATTTTCTCAGTGAAGCCCCAAGCCAAGATAAGCATATCCCTGAAGTTGCTGTGGTCAGTTGTGTCTAGATTTTGATGTGAACAAAAATTTATTTGGATACATGAATAGGAAAAGTTTAGAGGGATGCTGGCCAAACACAGGCAAGTGGGACTGGTTTAGTTTGGGAAACTTGGTCGACATGGACAAGTTGGACTGAATGGTCTGTTTCCGTGCTCTGACTATAAGTCAAATTATAGTGTAAAGCTATTAAGTTGATTGGTAAGAACCATGTTGGTTCTTGGGATGTACAGTGAAAAACATGCAAAAATAAAACATGCACTAATAAACAAATTGACCTCCTGAATGCCTGTTTTCATTACAGAAATGCTAAGTTACCATCTGAGGTTCTGCATAAATTTGGAATTGAAGGAAGATACAAAACTAATGCCAGCCGGGATGACAAAATTGATCCCCTGAAACAAGCTGTAGCAATTCCAGTAGAGGATTCAATATCTTCAGCTAGTGAACCAACACGTCAAGCTTTTACTGTGAATTTCCATGAAAATGTTTCTATCAATGAACCAAATGTCAGAGAGCAAATTGAATTTGGGCAACATAGTCAAGGCAAGTACAGTTAAGAAAAAAGATCTCCATTATCTAAATGCTCCTACCTCTTGACAATCGCTTATTATACTCATTGTCTGTGTACTTCTAAACAACATAATACCAAGCAACAACTTTAGTAATTGTTCTGTAAGCCAATATAGTTCTAGGAAATTAAATGGACAAAATTAGATGGTGCAAAAAAAGTGCAGGTGAATTACAAGTTGCATTTAGTTAGCACTTTTATAATATTTTGTGGTTGACTTCGAATTGCTGTCTGTTAAAGCCTAGCAAGTCACTCTGTTATATCAAAACCGCTATGTTTAGGGAAAGAAATTAAACCAGGTAAACCATCTGGCATCAACTTAAGAAAGCATTGGAAATGGTAAAGGCAAACCCAGCCCGACTGACTCTGCAAGCCCTCCTCACTAACATCCAGGGGCTTGTGCCAGAATTAGGGAGAACTTGCCCACAGACTTGTCAGGTATAGCCTGACTTTGTCATACTCGAGGAATTATTCCTTATCCAAGTGTCTAGAGGATTAGTTTGTTTGTATGCATGTATGTATGTATGTACTGGTCTACAAGCAGGCCCAATGCATCAAATGTGACACCACTGTGCTATAATACTAGGAGGTTGCTCTGGGAAGCCTCAGCAGTAGCTCTAGGTTCCATGATGTCTCATGGCATCAAGTCAAACATGGGCGAGAAACCCTCTTGCTGATTACCATTTGTCAACTGATCGATCGGTACTCCTCCATGTTGACCACTACTTAGAGGAAGTACTGAAGGCAGCAAAGGCATAGAATGTATTGGTGGGAAACTTCAATGTCTGTCACCAAGTATGGCTTGGTAGCGCTGGCTGAATCCTAAAGGGGGCAGCTGGTGATGGTGAGAGAACCAGCAAGAGGGAAAACCAACTTGATCTCATCCTCCCTAAACTATCTGCCACAGTTGCATCTGTCCATGACAGTATAGGTAGGAGTAATCACTGTACGTGGCATTGTGATGACAAAGTCTCATTTTCATATTGACAATTCCCTGTGTTGTGTGCATGACACTATCATTGTGCTAAACAGAATAGATTTCAAATAGATCTAGCAATTTAAAACTGGGCATCTATGAAGCTATCAGCTGCAGAATTAAATCTGACTGCAAGCTGTACCTCACTTGGAGCATGTCTCTGCATTCTTTTATTACCATTGAGCCGGGGGATGAACCTTGCTTCAATGAAGAGCGCAGGAGAGCATATCGGGAAATGTCATGTCAACTTGGTAAGGTTGTAAGGCAAGGCTCTCCCAAAACCATGGAAACAGCATGCAATTTGACATGATTAAGCAGTCCCAGAACCAACTGATTAGTTCTGATGTCTGCAGATCTACCACACAGTCATGAGCAGTAGTGGGCAATTAAACAACTGACAGGAGGATGATTCTGTACAAATATCTCCATCCTTAATCATTGACAGACCCCAGCACGTGTTAAAAAAAGTGGAGCCTGAAGATTTTTAAACTATCTCTGCCAGAAATGCTGAGTGGATGACCCGTCTCAGCTTCCTCCTGAAATCCCCCAGTATTACAGATGCCAATCATCAACCAATTTGATTCTCTCCACTCCTCAAAAGGCTGAAGGCACCGGACACAGCAAAGGCTATGGACCCTGACAAAGCTCCTTCAAAATTATTCTAGAACTAACAGCGTTCTTGACTTTGCTGCTCTAGCACAATGAAAACACTAGTATCTATCTGACAATGTAGCAAACTGATCGTATATGCCCTGTCCGTAAAACTAAGGGCAATCCAATTCGACCCTATCAGTTTACTCTCCATCATGGCAAAGTAACAAAAAGGGGTCCATAACAGTGCTATTAAGTGGCACTTGCTCAGCAGTAACCTGCTCACTGATAGTCTTTTTAAGCCAGGGCCATTTAATTGCTTACTGCATGACCACCATGATTCAAATACGGGCAAAAGAGCTTTACATAGTGATGAGGTGAAAATGACTGAACTTAACATCAATTCAGATTTGACCCTGTGGTAGCAAGGACCCCAGCAAAACTGGAAGGATGGGAATCTGGGTAGCAAGGGTGGAACTGATTACTAGTTGGAGCCATATCCAGAGATGAGGTGAAGTTGACTGTTCCTCACATCAACGCAGCATTTTGACCAAGTTACACCTTGGACCCGAGTGAAACTAGAGTCAATAGGAGTCTGGTGGTGGGTGGCAGGGGAGAATCTTTCCACTAACTTGTGGCCATATATAGCACAAAAGAAATGGATGTGGTAAGGTCAGTAATCTCTGGGATGTTAGTGCAGGAGTTCCTCAGAATAGTGTCCCAGGTCCAATCATCTCCAGCTGCTTTAATGATGACTTACCCTCTACCATAAGATCAGAAGTGGAGATGTGCACTGCACATACCGTTTAGCAATGTTCGTCATGCCTTGGATACTGAAGCACATGTCCACATCCAGCAATACCTAGACCACATCCAGGCTTAGACTGAAAAGTGATAATTAACACAAGTGACAGGCATTGATCATCTCTAACAAGAGATAATCTAACCATTTCCAGTTGATATTCAGTGGAATCACTATCTCTGAAGCCCCCACTATTAAAATCTTGCAGCTTAATATCGACCAGAAATTGAACTGGATTGGCCATTTAAGATTGTGTTTGAGGTTAGGAATTGTGTGGTGACTAACTCGCCTCCTGTTTCCTCTGTGCCTGCTCACCATAAGGTATGGGATGAAATACTCTCTACTTACCTGGATGGGCGCAACTCCAAGCACACTCAAGAAGTTCAATGTTATTGTGAATATCCCATCAACCATTTTTCAACCTTCGCCACCAACACATAGTGGGCAGCAGTATGTACCATTTACAAGATGCACAGCAGCAAATTGCCCCAGCTTCTTCAGTTGCACTTTCCAAACATGCAACCCTATGCACCTAGAAAGATAAGGGCAGGTTAGATAGGAATGTCATCACTTGCAAATTCCCCTCCAAGCCACATTAACCTGGCTTGGAACTGTGTTGTTCTTTTATTGTTACTGGGTCAAAATCTTGGAACTTCCTTTCTGCAATATTGGTGTCCCTACGAGGACTCTGGAAATTAACGAAGGCATCACCCCATGACTGTCTCAAAGACCATGTAGGGATGAGCATACGTTTTGGCCTAGTCATCTCCTGGAGGAACACTGTATATTATATACAATGCGAAAACCTAAGACCTCTGAACATCCCAAAACACTTTATAGCTGACGAACTACTTTTGATGTCATTATTCTATGGTTTTAGAGTAGATTTGTAGCTCGGGTTGTGGATGTTGTGGTTGGTTGGCTCGCTGAGCTGGTTCATTGTTCCGCAGACGTTTCGTTACCCTGCTGGGTAACATCATCAGTGCAGCCTCCGATGAAGCGCTGTTGCGTTTTCCTTCCTGTTATTTGAACTCTGGTGTCCGTCTAGGAATTCCCGTGCTTGTCTCTGCTTTGCTTGTCCCAGGATCCAGGTGTTGTCCCAATCAAATTGGTGGTTCTTATCCATATGGAGGATGGGCAACAGCACATTGCAGCAGCACAGAGCTACGTTAAGAAGAGTACCACCTCTTCCAGGTATTCAAAGACAATGGATACCTGAAAACTGGGTCAGAAGATGCCTATCACACGAACGACACCAGGAAGATACTACATGCCCCAACACATTCATCAGGCTACCTTACATCAGGAATGCATCTGAACTGATCACAAGTCTCCTACTGACCACTGGGCATCAGAGTAGCAGACAAACCCACATCAACCCTTCGACACCTGCTCACCCAAACCAAAGACCCACTACCCACTATGGACAGGACCAATGTCATATACAAGATTCCCTGCAGAGTCTGTGACAAACACTACATTGGACAAACAGGAAGGAAATTAACCACAAGGGTACACGAAATTGGCAACAAAAAGACATGACCAATGCTGTCTCATCTCTATCCACACGGATAAGGAGAATCACCGGTTTGACTGGGACATCATCAGGATCCTGGGACAAGCAGGGGAATTCCTAGAAACCTGGTACTCCACTAAGAAGGCCATCAAAAAACACAGCTCGACCCCATATACACTGCACTGCGAAGGAAAACTGGAAGTGAGGTAATCCAGCCTGATGGACACTAGAGTTCAAATAACAGGTGGGAAAACACAACAGTGCTTCATCGGAGGCTGCAGTGATGATGTTACCCAGCAGAATAATGAAACGTCTACAGAACAATGAACCAGCTCGGCAAGCCAACCAACCACGTTATTCTAATGTAGGAAATGCAGCAGCTAATTTGCAAGCTCCCACAAGCACCAATGTGATGATGATGAAGAAATAATCTGATTTCAATGATGTTGATTTATGAGATAAATATCGGCCTTGACACAAGGTATGAAGCCACTCAGATAGTAAGAACTGCAGATGCTGAAGTCAGATAAGTGTGGAGCTGGAGAAGTACAGCAGGCCAGGCAGCATCAGAGGAACAGCAAAGTTGACGTTTCAGGTCGGGACCCTGCAGAAAATTAAGTCGCTGTTCTTTTTGAAATCGGGAAATGAACAAGATATCATTGCACTGAGGGGCCAGGCAGGTCCTAGATTTAAAATCTCATTCAACAGTCAGTATTTCTCAGCAACCTCACTGGATGTAGGTGTAGAATTTTGTTTGCGCTCCAATGTTGAAAGTGGAACTTAAGTCCACAACATTTGTGAATCAACCAAAACATGGCTGATGCCACAATTTACAGCTTCAGGCTATTTTGGTTTATCAACAATGTTGCAAGTTCAGTTTGATTAGGAAATAATGAGCGAGTTAACTTATGAATTTTCATTTTTCCAGGCTGTTTGAATTAATTCATTTGGAGTGTTAGTGGAGAATTTTAGGGAGGCAGAAGGGCAAATCCCACCCCCTCCCCAAGAAAAAGATACAGAGCTGGCGTAAGACCCATGCCAAGTTATGAGCCAGTCTGGCAATTTACAAGCCATAGGTGGGTTTTACACGGTATCGTGACATTAGGGGCAGGTTGCGAATCAGAGACCACCCACCACCATTCTCCCTGATTAAATGCTTTCCTTGCCTCCAAGGGTATGGCATGAAATATCATCCTTTAGTTTTGCTCTGCATCACTATAGAGTTTAGTAGAAAATGTTCTTTTCAATAAAAAACTTGTTTTTTTTATGTATTTTAGATAGCGTTTCAAACCATGCCTGGCTTCGTCAGAATTCTGAAATATCTTCACCGAATAGCTTTAATGTTCCACAAACATCATTTACTGAACAAATGCCTGAAACTCAGCAGAATGAAACCATAATTGCATGTCAGAATGTTACCTTAAGAAAGAAAGATTCATGTTCCCGAAGTTCTAAAATATCTCTGGAATTACTGGAGAAAAAACGTACTTCCTTGGCAAGAGAATCTTGTTCAAGAAATTCTAAAATCAGTGATACCCCTGATTTTAACAGAATAAGTTTGGGTAGACCGCACGTTGAAATTTCTCCAGTGCTACACACCTCACATCCTTCTGATCCACAGAAGTGCGGCACAGGTCTGATCACTGAAGAACAGTCAGTTGAGCAACGGAAACCTGAAGTGACTGTCTTTGATGCAGAGATGGATCTAACTACAAGTGAAGCAGTAGAAATTGTTACTGTTGGAACAAAATCGACAAAGGGCAAAATGAAAGAAACTGAAAGAGATAATAAGGAAGTTGAAACAACCTCAAAGAACGTGGCAACCCTGCGAAAAGTAAAACAGACAAAGGGAAAATATTCCAACGGCGTTCAAAGGAATTGCAATATTGATTCTCATCTGTTTGAAAAGAGACAAAGAAAATGTTCTGATGAATTTTCTGTCTTTGACCAAACTTTTATGAATAATAACGAGGAGCCCAATGTTAGCATTCCAAGCAGTGGACTGAATAATTGGCTAGTGCATAAAGAGGACATTCACCCAAATCCTCAGAAGGAGGGTAGCCAAGTTGAAAGTGCTTCAAAAAATAACATAAACAATATGAAAGAAACATTTGAGGAAAAGACATTTAGAATTCATGACGGCATTAAGGAAAGCTCATGTAATTTATTTGCATCAAGGGCTATTGAAATTTACAATAAACCAGAGAGGAATGATTGTCTAAATAATGAGGAAGAGAGCAAAGGAATTTCAGATATTTTGCAGGTACAGCTTCGTAATGTAAAAGGAAAGATTGGACGAGGAACATTTACTGTGTCAAAGAAGTATAACAATGTTGAAGAAAGTACATCTAATCCAGTTATACAGCAAATGGTAGAGGACGAAGTGGAAATAGCTAAACATATAGGATTAGAAGATTACCGGAATTTAAATAACAAGAGCACTAGCCGAAGGACATTTGTGGTGACAGAAGGGCACAACAACATTGAAGATAATTCCCCTAAACCAATTGTACAAAAAAAATTTAGAAAGCAGAGTGTAGTGGTAACAAAAGAATATTCAGATAGTTCCTGCAGCCCTCTTCCAAACATTCATGCTGCAGAAAAGAATACTGGCCCTAAAGGCAAGACTGACCGAAGGACATTTGTGGTCACAGAAAAGCACAATGGCAGCTCTCTTCCAAATTGTCATGCTGCGGAAGAGAATACTGGCACTAAAGGAAAGGCTGACCGAAGGACATTTGTGGTCACAGAAAAGCACAAAGGCATTAAAGATATTTCACTTAAACCAATTGTACAGGAGAAACTTACAAAACAGAGTGTACTGGTAACAAATAAATATTCAGATAGTTTGGAAGAGGGCTGCAGGAGTTGCCATGCTACACGAGAAAATACTGGCACTAAAGGTAAGGCTGACCGAAGGACATTTGTGGTCACAGAAAAGCACAACGGTGTTGAAAGTATTTCACTTAAACCAATTGTACAGGAGAAACTTACAAAACTGAGTGTAATGGTAACAGAGGAATCTGTAGATAGTTTGGAGGAGGGTTGCAAGAACTGTAATACTTCAGAAAAAAATGTTGGTCATAAAAGCAAGGTTAACCAAAGGACACTTGTGCATAACCAACACCAGACCATTAAAGAACGTTCAACAAATTCAGTGATATGGCATGATGGCAAAGAGCGAAACGAAGTGGAAGTGGCTGAGTGTTTAGGTAACTTAAAAGTTAGCAATACAAATAATAATGATAACCAGAAGATAGTTGCAGTACCTAAAAAGGACAAAAAAGCATCCAAACGAGAGAAATTTAAAAATCGTCCTGAAATGGTCGGTGAATGTCTGGATAATATGGAAGAAGCCAACAAGACTTGTAATGCCTTAAGAGAAAACATAGAAAAAAAACGCAAAACTGACATGGCTGTGGTGCCTAAGAAAGGAAAGAAATTTAAACAAAATTTCTCTAACCTAATTAAAGAGGAGAAAGATGATGAACAGTATACAATAGCTGAACGTTTGCCTTGCACAAAAGGGAACAGTAAAACATCTGTCATGCCACAAGATTATATAAAAGGAATAGATTGCCAAAGGACCTTTGTGGCAAACAAAATACAAGAAAACATTGAAAGTCCACATAATCTAATTGTGGAAAATCAAAGTGAAGAGCAGTATCAAATGGATGTAAATCAGCACTTGAATAGAAACAGAAAAATCTGCAATCAAAATGCAGATATTTCTCCAGAAACAATTGTAGTTTGCAAAAATTTTGAAGACCCAACTTGCTCAATACGGGCAGCGAGAAAAACTTTACACTGTGAAGTCAAGAAGGAACAAGTAGAGTGTGAGCAGAACACCCACAAAATTTTAAATCCTGATTGCATAACTACTTCAAAAGAGGAAAGCATACTTGCTGAGCAAATCTCTGTCAACAGCTGTAGTGAATTTGTCACATGGCTATCCAGACGGGATGATATTGCTGTGGGTGTACTAACTGCAGAGTGCCCGAAAGTTCAAGGTATGCCTTTGTTTTTGGTCAAACGATTAACTGATGTGTATATGCACAATATATACTGCATGGCAGTTAGAACATCTTCATTCTATTTTGTACATGTATGCAATTTCATTCTCCGCTGTCTTAAAACACTTTCATAATGACTTATTTCTGTGAGTCTTTTATCGCTTGAAAAGAGAAGAGATCTTCTGGCCTCTAAAATTACGAAGGGATTTGACTAGATGATTGCAGAGGTTGTGTTTCCATTTATATGTAATATGGTTATTAGATGATCAAATCAATTACTAAGCAATTTCTTTATATTGTGTTGATCATTTTGAGTGAGTAGAATAGCATTAGTTTGTCTAAAAGGAGACATGGTACATGCATGAGAAAAAATAAGGGAATATATGGACAAGATGGGGGTAGATAATGGAAATAGGTAATTATGGTGCAAGGATGTTTCTCCGGACTGTGACTGAAAGAACTCTCAACCTATGAAAGTATTGTGGAACTTTTTTTTCAGGACATTATTTGGGTAAAGTGGTGGTAACCCAAAAGTCGTGAAAGTTTGAACATTATGGGAGTTATGTCTTTAAAGGAACTTGCACAATTAACGTAATAATGGAAAAGTTGGTATTTATTTCCTGAACAGACAGACATAGCTGTTGTTTAATTTCTCCTCTGAACCAGTAGAAGTAAGCCCAAAACGTCAGCCTTCCTGCTCCTCTAATGCTGCTTGGCCTGCTGTGTTCATCCAGCTCTACACCTTGTTATCTTTCTCACCTTTCTCACATATCTGTTCTGCCTTTATTATAAGTTTCAATCAAATCACTCTTTAACCATCTAAATTCCTAGGAGTCCAACTCTAGTTTGCCTAATCTCTTTGTAATTTAACCTTTGATAATCAGCTTTCATTTTACAAAAATAAATTGTATTTATATTGTATTACTCAAGGTGCTTCGTAGACTCATGAAAAGATGTGACATCACACCATAAAATGATGCAATAGGGCAGATCTCCAGAAGTTCGGTCAGGGGTAGATCTTAAGTGACTTAAAACAAGAAACCAAGGTAGGGGATATAAGGAGGGAATTTCAGAGCTGGGGGCAACTGAAGGCAGGGCAGTCAATAGTGGAGCAGTTATAATTGGTAATGCATAACATGCCAGAATTAGGTGAATGCAGACATTTGGGAAGGTTGAGGGATTGCTGGAGGTAAGAGAAATACGGAGGCTGAGATCAGGAAGGTATTTTCAAACAAGAAACGAGAAATTTAAAATTAGGATGTCATATGATGGGAGCTATTGTAGCTCAGTAAGCAGAGGGGTAATAGGGGTAAAAGAAATGCTGCAAGTTTAGACATGGGCGGCAGAGTTTTGGATGACCTCACATTTAGGGAGGGTAGAAACTGGCTAACAATACATTAGAATAATCAAGTCTAGAGGTAATAAAGGCATGAATGAGGATTTCAGCAGAAGATGAGCTGATACTGGGGCCAAGTCTAGTGATGTTACAGAAATGGAAATGCGTAGTCTCGGACATGACATTAAATTGAGGTCAGAAACTCATCTCTGGATCAAATGTGGTACCAAAGTTGCAAATAAACTGGTTTAAGCTCAGACTTTTGCTACAGAGAGAAATGGAGTTGATTGGAGAACAAAATTTGGAACGGGGACGAAAAGCAGTGGCTTTTATCCTGCAAATTTTTAGTTGGATGAAATATCTGCTGATATACTACTCAATGTTGGGTCAGCAGTCTGATAATTCGGTAGCAATGGAGTGGTTGAGGAAGATCAAGTTGCATGGCGTTAGTGTTTGTGTAAAAAGTAATGCAATGCCTTCAAATTATGTCACCAAAGGACAGCATGGGAGAAGCCAGAGATGACAGTGTAGGAACAGGAAATAAACCAACTGCACATTTGATTTTGATTTATTATTGTCACGTACCGAGATACAGTGAAAAAATTGCGTGCTAACCAGACAAATCATACCTTGTCTAAGCACATCAAGCTAATAGAACAGAATGCAGAATATAGAGAAAGTGCTACAGCTACAGAGAAGGTGCAGAGAAAGATTAATTCTAATATGAGAGGTCTGTTAATAAGTCCAATAACAGCAGGGAAGAAGCTGTTCTTAAATGTATTGCTACATGTTTTCAAACTTTGGTATCTTCTGCCTAATAGAAGAGGGTGGAGGAGAGTATAACTGGGATGAGAGAGGTCTTTGATTATGTTGACTGCGTTCCGTGTAGACTGACTCAGTGGAAGGAAGTCTGGTTTTTGTGATGAACTGGGCTCCGTTCATAAGTTTCTGTAATTTTTTGGGGTCTTGGACAGAGCAGGTGCCATACCAAGCTGTGATGCATCTGGATAGGATGTTTTCTATGGTGCATTTATAAAAATTAACTCCTTGTCGATGTGCTGCATTTCCTTAGCCTTCTGAGGAAATAGAGACATTGGAGTACTTCTGATTTAGAAATGAATGGAAACAGATTACATGCACACTGCACACGCTCTCTTTCTCTGTTTGTAGTCTCAGTAAGTTAATTGTGATTTTGATAAAAGCCATTTTTATATTTGTGGTTGAGAAAGAAACCGAAGTGGAGTGAGAGGCAATTAGGTCACCTGTTCAGTGGGAATAAAATTGAGGGAACTAAATGAGCTCCAAGACAGTTCCTCTTCTATCTCCCCTAAACTAAGAAAAGCAACTTGGGACTAGCAGAAGGTAGAACATTAAAGTTTTGTCAGGTAGTCTGATGGAAGGGGGGAATGCTGCAGAGGCAGCTGATTGTCACAATACAATGGTGGGCAAGTGTTTTTTGCATTTGTGAATCTGTGCTGTGCTCCTTCCAAAACCAATTTATCCTTCCTTAAGACATGGTGCCTTCTCTAGAGTTGAAGGCCAACAATTCTGCAGTGAGGCACTAAATGCAAGGGATGAGGCTGACATATTCCAAAATTTACGTTAGTCATTTCACTTTTTTTATTCACAGTTCTGCTATACCAAGTGGAACTTCAGGCACCTAGGAGTTTGAGTTTTTACAGTATGGCAAAAGGTCTTGACACCAATCATGTCTGTGCTGGTCATCAAGCATCTATCTGTTCTAATCCCGTTTTCCAACATCTTGGCTTGTAGCCTTGTATGCTATGATGTTTCAAGTAATCATCTAAATAAAGATAAAGTTACCATCGTTCCAGAGTACCATAGGGCTGCTCTCATTAGAGAGACAGCTGGTGGTGGGTTTAATCCAAAGGTTAGCATGCCTCAGGTAGGGGGCAAAATTAAGAAGTCAGAGCTTCATGGTGAATTCGGCTGGTGTGGGAATTGAACCCACATTATGTTGCAAACCAACAGTTAACTCGGCTGACCAACCTCCATCTAAACAGTAAAATATCTTGAGGATCCCTGTCTATACCACTTTTTATTTTGGTTTTGGCAGTGAGCTCCAGATACCCACTAACCTCTGGGTGGGGAGAAAAAAAGGGTTCAATCTGCTCCTTAACTTAAAACTATGCTACCTGGCTCTTGAACACTGTACTAAGGGGAAAAGTTTCTCCCAATTTATGCCCCTCAGTACACTTCAATCAGATCTGCTTTCAGCCTTCTCTGCTCTAAGGAAAACAACCCTGCCTATCTAGCCTCTCATCATAGATAAACATTTCCAGCTCAAACATCCTGGTGCATCTCTTCTGCACCTTCTATAGTACAGTCGCAGCCTTATTGTGTGGCAGCTAGAGTCATACACTGGACCTCCAGCTGTGGCCTAACTACTCTTGTATACAGCTCCATCATAAATTGCTTGCTCTTGTATTCAATGCTTTGACTAATAAAGGTGAGTCTCCCAAATTCCTCCTCAACCATTTTATCTACTTGTCCTGCCTTCATTGTGCATATGAATATGAACATGGATACCAAGGTCCCTCTGGTCCTCTGTATTTTCTACCAATCAATGTGTACTCCTTTGCCTTGTTAGTCTTCTCAAAATACACTACTGTCATATTTTTATGATGAAATTCCCTTTCCCATGTTCACCCCATCTGACCAGTCCACCTGTATCATGCTGCAGTCCTCCTTTTGTCCTCGCTATTTACCACACCACCAATTTTCATGTTGTCTGTGATCTTACTAATTATACCTGACACATTTATGCCTAGATATGGCAGGTAGTGTAAAACTCTTTTTCACAAACAGCAGTGGATGCATATCAGTTGTTAATTTTAAATCTGAGATGATACCTTTGCTCAACAAATTTTTTTAAGGTATACGGGTCAAAGGCGGATATATGGAATTGGGCCACAGACCAGCCATGATCTTGTTGAGTGGTAGAGCAGGATCAAGGGGCTAAATGGCCTACTCCTGTTCCAACGTTTGTATTAATGCATACTAAAAACTGCCAGGGACTCAGTCCTGAACACTGGTATGCCACTGGACACAGGTTTTCAATCACTAAAACACCTTTCCTGTCAGAGCCAAGTTTTGATCCAGTTTGCCGTATGATCCCATGCACTCTCAGCTTCTTAACCAGTCTGCCATTGGCAATGTTGTTAAAAGGCTTACTGAAGTCCATGAAGACTACGTCAACTAAACTACCCTCATCTACACACCTGGTCGCATCCTTGAAAAATTTACTGTTGTTAGACATGATCTCCCTTGATAAAGCCACAGTGACTTTCCTTGCTTCATCCACACCTCTCCACACGGAGATTAAATTTGTATTTTTCCAACGGTTTCAATACCACTCATGTTAGACTCACTGACCTGCAGTTTCTTGGTTTATCCATACCACCCTTGAATAATGGTACCAGATTAGCTGTCCTCTGGCATTCCTCTGTATTGAGAGGATTTGAAAATTACTGTCAGAGTTCCTGCCATCTCCACCCTGCCTCATAGCAGCCTGAGATACATCTCATCTGGCTTGAAGATCTATTTATTTTCAAGCCTGTCAGTACCATCACCACCTCATAATTGCTAATTTTCTTCAAGTATATCATGATCATCCTCCCTGATTTCTATACCAACAGTG